GTGGAATTTGATCCCAAAATTATAAATTTCATTCGAGTTTGTCCTTCTTCCTTTCCAATTGTTTAGAAACGAGTCCAATATTTGAATTTCGCCATTTTCTCACTATTTTGCATTCTTTTCTCTAATTCTTCATTAAACATAAAGTTTTACCTATAAAATGTAATATAACATAAATTAGGTAGAATTTTATCCAAAGGACAATAAAATATCATGATTTATGGTTTCGAATAAATGTAGAAGCTACACTTATCAGTCGGCTTGAGTCAAATTAAGTGTAAGCCTAAGTAAATCGAGGAGTAAGCCTTACAAATGGAATTTAAGGTACGAGTTTTGAGGAATTATATGATAGCCTCGTATGAGGTGGAATTCGAGGTGTATGCCTCAAATAGTTCTTTTTAAACAATGTGTACCCGTAACAAAAAGGCTAGCTAGAGAAGAGTTGAAGATAGTTCCACTTAGATTCCTTGGATTGAAGTTTCACATTTGGAACGTTGATGCGATTAGAGTTGCCTTCTGCAGTGCTATGATCAACACATTTAGCCATGCAAAGTATGAGTCGTTGACACCATGATGCGCCTAGAGTTTGATATTTGGGTATCATAAAGACAGTTGATAAGCCAAGCCTCCCCCAAGCTTAATCGTTGCCTAAGCAACATGTGAATGGAAAGAAGGGTAGTGCAGTTGCATTGTAAGAGGCCAGTCATGTAAAAGAGTTGCGTGTGTCCCATATGCTGTAGCCTGCTCAGGCTCCCACTAACTTGATGCTGCAAATTAAATGCTTCTCCAATTTCTTCTTATTTTCAAGTGGAATAATGTTTGAGGTACCTTTGTAAAAGGCATATGATCTCTTAAACTTGTATGAGGCACGATACTTGGTACTTGAATGTGAAGAGGTGATGAGAATATTGTACCATTCGACCTTATTTGTAGTCTATAACTCGATGAGTCAAAAACTACTTTTTTCAGAAAATGAGCACTTATTTAATTTATATTAGTTCTAAAGTTTATATAAAACGTTTATATGTTATAGTACTTTTTGTAAATCATACGAGTTGCAGAATTTGATTATTTAGATGGTTAATATAGAAAATCAGCTCTTTTTAAAGTTATAAACACTTAAAAGAGCTATTGGAAAAATGTGCGTAAGCACGTCCCTATTCAACCTGTTGCAAAACTGCATTCGGAATTAGATGGATTTTCCTTCTACCTTGTTTAGTCTTAGATTCTTTTTGCTTTCTCAAAATCATTTCATTGGCATATTATATCGATATTAATGTAAAGATCGTTTTAAAATACCAAAAAGTACCCTATGTGATTTTACCCCAGTCTGTACTGACGTGAACGTGTTTTCATAGTGTGTGACTAGATATGGTTATTTTATTTATTCTGCACTGTTGTGAATGTGTTTTCATAGTGTATGACCAATTATGACGTTCTTATTCTCTCTAAACTAATGTGAACGTATTTTGATAGTGTATGACTAGAATATAGCCTTTGGGCAGCTCTATGAGTGTATGAACAGAATTTCAGAATTCTGAGATCGTGAATAACCTTGCTATGTACATTGATATTAGTTGATAAATGGGTATGATTATTCCGGGTACCTTTGGTGTGATTTTTTTGTATTATTACAAGTTATCAAATTTCAGATTACATAATTTAGTTTATACAGTTCAAGAATTAGACGAATATTATGTGGCGAAGCTAAATCCTACCAGAATTGTGTGGATTGTATTGTTATTTGTATAATGTTTTCAATTTAAGTTCAATGCACCCCCAAGATTTATTAGAGGTGGTGTTGTTCTCTTTAAATTAGATTATTGAGATATTCAAAAACATTTGATATGACTGATTGCACTATAGTAAATACCTTGTGAAACTTAATATGCGCATGAAGTTGAAAATTGAATATCCTATGTAAGGATTTAAAATCTACTAGTAAATATGCTTTGAAAGTGCAGTTTGTTTCGTGAAAATCCTCAATGGATCTTGAGAATTGAAAGAAATTAGAGTTTCCAATAAAATTAGAAGGAAGTATGATGGCTTCAAAGTTTTGGAATGATTTTTTAATTGGTAAGAATTTGTGCATGTTATATCATTTGGTCAAGTTAGCTAACTACAGATAGAATGACACGGATTGTTGTGTATAATAGTAAGTCTTGATATATACGTCGTAGATATAATGCTATTCGAAAATTACTCTTAAATTGAACAATATCAATTGTTTTATCGAAAAAATAACCTTTCGGATCCGTTTATAAATGGGTTATTTAGAGATAAAATCGTGAATCGAGGAAATGGGTATAAAGTCTAAATTAATGAGTCAGGTTAATGAAAACCTAACTTGTCGACCGGAGATCCCATGAATTAGGTTCAATAGGAAAACTAGTTAAGATTGACTCGATAAGAACTAGGAAGCACTTCGGAGTTTTAAATCCTCTTTGTTTCTATGATGCAAAGAAGTGGTGCCTGTCAAAGATTGGTTAAGATAAGCTATGCTTTTAATAATATGATTATATCTTGTAACAGTATAAGTGAAGTATTGTAGGGTACTCTTTATAGAATATCATCTATGTGAGTGCGAACTTGGATGGTTCTATGAAAATTTTACTTAGGCGAATTATCTAGCGCACTTGTAGAACCAAGAAGGTTCATGACTGAAATAATGAACACAATAGAGAACCAAAGTTTGATATGAAAGATAATATATTTGATCTATTGTCAAAACGTACAATAATGGTCGATAGTTCAAAACGTTGTGTTCACTGATTAACCAAGTTAGTCCATTAGATTCTTATTAAAGAAGGTTCAAAGCNTGTATTCACATATTAACCAAATGAGTCCTATAGATTCTTACGTAGGAAGGTTCAAAGCGAAAGCTACCGATACTAATGCATTACATTTCAGTTGTACTCTTATTCTTTTTCCTTGTTTTGATTCGACTTCTTCCATTCATGTGGGGAATTGTTGAAATTTTAGGATAATATAAGGATTAAAATGTGTAAATTGAAAAAGTCTCCAATATGTGTGTCCATTGGATGCGACTCTTCAAGTGCAAAAAGTGCAAAATAAAGAGTCACGGCCTTTTGATTGAGAAATTTTCAGAATTATTTGTAAAGGAAAGTGTTGATTTCATTGAGTTTTCTATGCATAATATATATAACAAGAGTTCCTAATCATATGCAATTAATTACACAGCAATAACAAGGAAAATATTACAGCTTTTAGTGACAATGATTCTAGCTGGGAATGATTTCTAAAATTGTGCCATTGACCAACATTGATTGTGTTTGCCATTCTGTACTCCTTTCCTCAGCAGATTGTGTTGCCGTCCTTTTAACCATTTCCTAATCTTTCCTTATCAGTGCTTCTCTTAACATCTCCTCTCAAGTTGGAGTGGAAAGATTCATGAACACCCAACTTGTTTCGAAAAGTGTAGAAGTTGTCTCTTGGTAAAGGCTTTGTAAATATATCTGCTGGTTGAGCCGATGAAGAAATGTAGCGAGTAATGAGAAGACCCATGCAACCTTCTCTCGAACAAAATGATAATCAAGCTCAATATGTTTAGAACAAGCATGAAACATAGGATTAATAGACATATGGAGAGCACTAATATTATCACAAAATAACTGAGGTGGCTATGGAAGCAAAATACCAATATCTCGTAATAAGAAAGTGATCCAAGTGAGTTCAGCAGTGGTTGATGCCATAGAGTGATATTCGGCTTCAGAACTGGATCGTAAGATTGTTGGTTGCTCTTTGGAACACCAAGAGATACAATTTGCACCAAGAAATATACAAAACCCTGTTGTACTTCGACGAGTTGTTGGGCATCCTGCCCAGTCGGCATCACTAAAACCATAAAGAGAATTGGAGCTATTGGAAAGATAGCGTAGATCATAGCTTTGGGTGCCTTTAAGGTACCTTAAAATTCTTTTTACAGTCTTCAAATGAGATAGGGTTGGATTGCTAAAAAATTGGCATACTCCATGAGCAATGTCCGGTCTCGTGAATGTCAAGTATTGCAAGGCTCCAACAATGCTGCGAAAGACAAAGGGATCTATAGGATCATTGTCAGATTGAGTTGAGGATTCCTTTATTGTCATAGGAGTTGCAATCTGAGTACATTTAAGCATTTAAGTTCGTTCAAGGAGGTCATGAATGTATTTTTGTTGAGTTAGAAATAATCCACCAGGAAAAGTTTTGATCTCTACTCCAAGGAAGTAACTCAATGCCCCAAGATCTTCGATAGCAAACTCATTACCAAATTGGTCAATGAGCTTTGTGATAAAATCATCATTATTCCCTACCACAAGAATATCATCTACATAAATCAGGAGAAGCATTGTGATAGTGTTTAAATGATATACAAATAAAAATGAGTCTACCTTGCTACATGAAAATCCAAGATGAAGAAGAAATTGCGACAACTGATCGAACCAAGCTCGTGGAGTTTGCTTTAATCCATATAAAGATTTTTTAAGAAAACAAACATGATTATGTAATTGTCAATGAATCACGGTGGTTGCTCCATATAGACAGTTTCTTTAAGATGCCCGTACAAAAATGCATTCTTGATATCAAGCTTGCACATACTCCAATTAGAATAGATGGATAGGGCGATGACAAGCCGAATAGTAGTTGGTTTAACTACCGGGCTAAATGTTTCATCATAATCAATCCCCGAGACTTGAGTAAAGCCCTTGGCCACTAATCGAGCTTTAAATTGATCAACTGATCCATTCTCTTTGTACTTGATTCGAAATACCCATTTTGAGCCCACAACATTAACATCAGATGGTCTTGGGACCAAACCCGAGTATGGTTGTCATGAAGGGCTTTAATCTCCTCTTGCATTGCTTTAGTCCACCTAGAATCTTTGATGGCTGACTTCAACATTTTTTGCTCAGCTAAGATAGGGGCAAGTGCAACATAGTCAATAAGGTAGGATGATGGATGTCAATCTCTTGTAGGACGAGAAGACCTCAAATCTGAATTGTTTGGAGAAGAGATTTCTTGATCATCTTGCATTGATGAGGGAAATTCATCATCACTATTTGTGTTTGCATGATTTGGTCTTGTATCTGTGATGTTTTGATCTGTTGAACTAGATACCTCATGAATCTCATCCAAAGTAATGCAGTGGTCAACGTTCTCATTGTTTTTCTCCTCATTTATTGCAATGTGTTTGCTAAAATTAGGGAAAGAACCAACATCTATATTATCAGTTATGTTAAATATGAAAGATAATGACCTTTCCCTATCGGAATCAATTAAATCGCCACCTCCTTTGTTTGTTTCAGTTTTGCCATTGTCTTCTTTTTCCTTTTCAATCCACTCATCTAAAGATGGAAATTATGACAATTTCAAAGGATGAGAATTAGGAGTAACCATAGAAGGCCGAAAAGGAAAGTGTTCCTCATTAAAGACTACATGCCGTGAAATGTAAACTAGCTTTGTTGTTGGCTCTAAACATCGATATCCCTTATGGATTGGACTGTACCCAAGAAGACACATGGATATGTTTTCTTTATGAACTTTGAACCACCTTGATGTCCCAAGCTTGGAAAACATTGACATCTAAACACTCGCAAGCCGTTTTAATCAGGATGTCTCTTGTAAAGTTTGTGATAAAGGCTTTGATTCTGTAACACTGAAGACGGCAAATGACTGATTAAATAGACAGCAGTAAAAAATGCTTCAACCCAATATGATAAAAGCATATTTGCATGGAAGAGCGTCGTTAGCCCTGTTTTGACGATATGGCGATGCTTCTGTTCTGCGACTCCATTTTGTTCTAGAGTTCCTGGACATGAAACATGTAGCTCAATTCCATTGTTAGCAATATGATCCAGAAATGCATTAGAGCTAAATTCACCTCCTCCATCACATTGGAAAATTTTAATTCTCCGATCAAACTGATTTTCGACTAATGCTTTGAATTTAAGAAAATGATCAAGAAATTCTGAGTTCCTTTTTAAAGGATATATCCACGTGTATCTTGAGAAATCGTCAACAAATATAGCATAAAATCGAAAATATTTCTTGGACTCCAAGGGAGCAGGTCCCCAAACATCACAATATATCTTTTCAAGAGCATACTTTGATATTTTATTTGTTTGATTGAAAGGCAGTTTACAACTCTTTCTTAATTGGCAACAACCAATTTGTAACATCAATGATCTTCCTTTCCATCAACCAAGACAACATTTTTGGATTTGGATGACCCAATCGTTGATGCCATAAAATGGAGTTGGAGCTGCCATTCTTTATTGCACTAAGAGCCGCTTGATTATTTCTTTCTAAAGAGTAAAGCTGTCCTTTCTTATGCCCCTTCGCGATCGTCCGCTGGTTTCGGTCCTTAATAATAAACCCAGATGATATGAATTCAAAAGTGCACAGATTATCTGAAGTAAATTTTTCAACAAATAACATATTTTTCTTCAATTTAGGGACCACTAATACATCTTTCAAATTCAATTTTCCTTCATCAGTGACCACACATGCATCACCAGTGTAAGAAATAGGTAAAGCGTTTTCATTGCCCACATAAATGACATCATTCCCATGATATGGTTTAATAAATGAAAATTTACCCGCGTCACTTTTCATGTAGCTCCGGAGTCTACTATAAATGAATGATCATTGGAGTCATTAAAGGAAAAAGTAGAAAGTGCTTGAGGAAGATCTTCAGGTTGGTATGAGTAATCAAACTGATACCAACATTCAATTGCAGAGTGATTTTCCTTTCCACATATCTGACAAATTACCTTCCCGGTATCATTAGAGTTGATTTGATCGTGGTGGCTGCTGTCTAAGAATACCATCATTTTTTTTGTTGTTGATTGAAGTAGGTATTCAGTTGTTTGAAATTGTGTTTGCCATTTCCTTGAGTATTCATTTGTCCAGATTTTACATTGTAGTGGCCAGCAGGGGTAAAACCATTTCCTTTTGAATTGAAAGGTCCTCGTCCTCCACGACCGTTCCGAGCACGTCCCCTTTGTCCGAAATAGGCATGTATATTTTCAATGAATGTTTTCTCCTCTTCGTTGTTTGATTTTAATGTTTGCTCATGTCCTTGCAGAGTTAATACAAACTGTCCAAATGAAGGATATGGAGGTTGGTTTAGCAAGCATTGCAAGGGAAAAATTCTCATACCTTGGTCCCAATCCTTGTGAGAATTGGAAGACTTTGTCAAGATCAGAAACTGGCTTTTTGATAGCAGCAAGGTTGTCACATATAGACTTAAAATCTCTGAGATATTCATCTAGAGATTGTGCTCCCTTTTTAATCTTCATTAACATACTTTTTAGATGCCCTTCTTTTTCCACCGTGATGGGAAGTAGTTGTGTTTGAAGAGATGTCCAAATCTCATAAGCAATGCTGTTTCACCCTAAAAAATAAGACTTCCTCTTTCATAGTGCCAAGAAGCCAAGAGTTAAGGATGCAGTCATTGTTGAGCCACAGGAGGTGCTGTGGAGTTGGACTTTTCTTTCCCGATTCATCATCAATTTCTTCATCAGGTTTTCCTTCATTGGTGAGATGATGAAGAATACCCAAGCTTCGAACCAATGGAAGAATTTGAGAACGTCATAAAAGAAAATTTGATGTGTTTAGCTTAATTGAAATTAAGCTAGAACACAGATGGAATTGTTGGATGTTCAATTGTGGTTCATTTTTCAAAACATAAGAGGAAGAAGACATGGTTTCAGGCTTGTGAGTTTGTGTCTCAGATACCATGAGAAATTTTCAGAATTTTCTGTAAAGGGAAGTGTTGAATTCATTGAATTTTTCTGTGCATGATATATACGGCAAGAGTTCCTAATCATATTCAATTAATTACACAGCAATACAAGGAAAATATTATAGCTTTTAGTGACAATGATTCTAGCTGGGAATGATTTTTAAAATTGTGCCATTGACCAACATTGATTGTGTTTGCCATTCTGTATATCTTTCCTCAGTAGATTGTGTTGTCGTCCTTTTAGCCATTTCCTAATCTTTCCTTATAAGTGCTTCTCTCAACATTGATAAGGTGCAATCTAGACCATCAATCTTGAAATGATGCGATCTAATGGTTGAAATTAATTTTGCCAAAAGATGCGACCATAGAAAGTGACATAAAAATCTATAAATAGGATCCTCTTAATTCCATTTTTTTCACTTCAAATCAATTCTATATAATTGAGTTTCGTGTTCGATATTTAGTATTCGATATCCTTCGTTCTATAAAAGTACACTCAAGCATTGGTTCATCTGACAAAATTAATATTGTGCTATATTATTTTGGAAGAAGCGTTGTATCTTAGGAGACGAATGTCCATTTGATTTTGATAGCACCATTGTACGGGTGCAATGAGTCGATATTTGTGCGCATATCTTGGCTTCAGCAAGTCAAAATATTACTGATATTTTACATGTATACGTCACTATTTATCGTCTTTACATACACGTACTTTTATTAGAGGAATATGAATTATGTACCAATTTTCCAACAGGAGATCTATGCTGCTTGGTGGAGATTGGTGCTGTATTGGTTCCTGGTACTTGGAGCGTGTTGCTGCTTGGGTGATGGTGGTGGTCAGTGGCCGATGGTGGTGATTGTGGTTTTTTATCTTTAGGGTTTTTTTGTGTTATCCGTCAGTTTGTGTATGTATTTGTGCGTGGTAAATAAAAACAGTATTTAAAGAATAAAAATG